ATAAATAAAATTGAAATGCATACGAAAGTATATACGGTACTTATAACAAAACACAATGTTTGTGTCTGTCTGTCTGTCTGTTTGTTCCGGCTAATCTCTGAAACGGCTGGACCGATTTTGACGGGACTTTCACTGGCCGATAGCTGATGTCATAAGAAGTAACTTAGGCTTTTATTTTAGAAAAAGAATTAGGGTTCCACGCAAAAAAAATTAAAACCCCAAATAACACTCGGGCGAAGTCAGGTGGAAAAGCTAGTAGACAATAAAATTCTACGAGGACGACGAGTATACTATCGATACGGATACTTGAACAACAATTTTCGGAAATGTCTGTGTATGTCTGTACGCGCATCACGCAATTCCCTGTGAACGGATTTGAATGAGACTTTCTATCCTATTTCTATTATATGAATAATTGTATAATATTTTCGTACAATTAAATATTTTAAAAACTTATCCAGAAGAGTGTCTTGTTCCTTTTTCCCAGAACAGATATATTTTTTAAAGCTGTAGAAAAGAAAAATTATGACTTTCTATATGTATCCATAGAGAATAAAAGTATTATTCTATATTCAGGAAATCTGTGAAAATCCTCTCAGAAATGACAGGAGGAATGTGCCCAGCAGTGGGCCGTATAATAAAGGCTGTATTTTTTTATACAATAACGGTGACAAACGAGCACACCGTCCACCTGATGGTAAGTGGTTACTGTGACCCATAGACATCTACATCTATCCTCAATAAAGACTCAAGATGCAAATGCGTTGTCACCCGTGAGGACTAAAATGGAATGCCTCGTTTCCAGTAAAAAGGGTCTCCGGTTCTCTACACTCACCATACGAAACACAGCAGCGTTAAGCTGCTATTTTACGCTGGATTTCTGTGAGAGCGTGGTCCTTCCCCGGTCGAGCCGATCCATTCGTGCTACAACTATACTACTAATATGCAGCATGGCTCTACCACGTACAACTTGCTACGTTGTACCTCGTAATGGCAGCGTAAGAATACCCCTACCCCATATCACGCCGAGGATGTAAGAGGCGATAAAGGGAAATAAAACAGAAGATAGGTAGCACCTTCCTGACAACAATTCAATACAATAAAAAACTGCGGTTGGCAATCTGCTTGCCTAGTCACAATTATGGCTTCCTTATGAGTAAATCTATGGAGGAGGCCTTCGTTCGTTTTAAGCTATAAAAATTAATAAATATTGAACCTATCCTTGTACTTCAATAAATCAATATTAAAAAACGCTAATGGGGTTTATTATAAACTAATTTGCTTAATTCCGCGTAAAGAAAGAAAATTATGTGTAATTATGTTTGAAAATATGTGATGGTGCTGGGGATGGTAGTGCTAGGATTGACAGCGACGGGTGGGAGGTCCCCTTAAAACTGGGCAGGACACATCATTTTTTTTCTTTGGACGGAATTAAGCAAATTAGTTTATAACAACCCTATTATAATGGATTTAGGCAAAGTAAGTAAGTTTTGCTTAGGTAAGGAAATTTCAGTTATGCATGCGGAACTCATTGCAATTGCGGAAGCCTTATCTTATGTCAAGTCACTTAAATATGATAAATTGTTGATATTAACTGATTCTCGCAGTGCCCTTCAACATTTAAAAAGATGTACTTTACTGTGTCGCGGTTTTCCATTGGCTTACGACATATTAAGTAATATTTTAACATTAAAATCGAACCATAAAAGGATAGTCTTACAATGGGTGCCTTCCCATATTGGTTTAGAGGGAAATGAGGCGGTAGACATTCTTGCTAAAGAGGCGATAAGTGATGGGGATAATTTCGATTGTGTTCCTTATTTCTCCGAACTCTTATCTAAAGTCCGAGAAAACTGTACAGAAAAGTGGTCCGAATACTTTGATGAAAGGTCACTGTCAAAAGGTATTTGGTACAAGACGATACAACCGCATCTTTCCCGCTTCCTTTGGTTTGAAGGATGCAATATGGGAAGGCAAGACATTATTACAGCAATGAGGCTTCGTTCTGGACATATTCCATTAAACAAATTTGCGTTTATGATAAAAAAAAGTGAATTCACCAAATTGTGTCAAATGTGGAGTTCTGGAAGATACTATCCATATTATGATGGAATGTGAACGGAACGAAGCATATAGAAAACTATTACTTACTTACTTATCTTCACGCACAATCCCTGACGGGGTAGCCAGAGAGAACAGATCGCCAAGTGTCACGATCCTTACATATCTCTTTCGCTTCTTTCAGATTCATTATCTTCTTCATACATGCACGTCTAGGTATCCGAGTACTCTTGACCCTACCCTCTTCGAGCAATTTGCTCACATGGTCTTCGAAAGTTAGTCTCGGTCTACCTTTTAATATTAACTTTCGCGCTATATATTTTCTTCACCATTCGGTCTTCACTCATTCGCTCAACGTGCCCAAACCACCGAAGCACGCCCTTATCAATTTTTGTGATAAGGTCATCTTTCAAACCTGCCATATTGCGAATCTCTTCGTTTCGCTTTCGGTCGGCCATAGTAACGCCGCACATTTTACGAAGAGATCGCATCTCCACTGCATTCAACTTACTTTTATGCTTCTTCTGGCATACCCAGGTTTCGCTGCCATATAACAAAGTCGGTACCAACACTGCGTTATGTATTGCAAGGCGTGCACTCTTCGCTACGCCTTGCCTTTTGACTAACGCAGTCAGGGCACCATTGACTTTGTTCCCGGCAGCGACACGCCTGTCCACATCTAAATCACATCTTCCATCCCGGCTAAAAGCACTCCCCAAGTATACAATTTCATTTACCTGTTCTAGACATTCCTGATTTACCCATATTTCACACTTCGTTCTCTCTTCGTCCCTTTCAAATACCAGAACCTTAGTTTTATTAGCATTCAAACGGAGACCTTTAATTTCACATTCCTCTTTCATACACGTGACTAATGCCTGCAGTTCTGCCTCTGATGGTGCAATAAGCACTGCATCATCAGCATACAGCAGACAATTTACTTTTATGTCACCCAATTTCACACCCAAACAGCTATCTTTCAGCTTTTGTAAACAGCTGTCGAGATACAGTATGAACAGCCAGGAAGACATGACACAACCCTGTTTTACGCCCGTTTGGACGCTAAACATGGGTGACAGGTCATGCCCTACCCGAACACAGGCTTTACAGTCACAGTAAAGAGACTGCACAGCCCTTAGCAATCGGCCATCCACACCATACCCCGGCAACAGTTCCCACATTTTCTTCCTTACAACCTTATCAAATGCTTTCTCAAGATCCACAAAAGCACAGAAAATCTTCTGGTTAACAGCCAGAAGCTTTTCCGTGATCATACGGAGAGAAAACATTTGATCCGTGCATCCTCTTCCAGGTCTAAATCCGCATTGGCAGCAAACTATTAGGTTTTGACAAAAATAGTGTTGGATTGTGTAATAGTATTTTAGCTTTTCCATTGTCGGATAAGGCTAGAAAACTATATAAACTAGTATTGTTAGGTATTAAGAACAGATAATTTTTTATTATTGTTTACGTGAATTTATCATTGTTGATTATATGTATTTGATTGTGTACTTATGAGGGTGACATGATCTAATAGATCAAACCCTCTATAATCAATAAAGATTTAAAAAAAAAGTAACGCCTGTTTCTATTAATTAATAAACGCGGTAAGAGCAATAAACATTTCACAATTTAAATAACAGACATCGGAAAAGCTGCGCAAAGAAGCACGCAACGCGCCATTAACTTTATGTTTGGTGTCGTTCACGAGCAAATATTCCCGCGTGAAAGTACCTACCGCATAGTGCGAGTATAAATAAAACAATAGTCATAGCAATTTATTTTATTCATCTAATTTATTGCACTGCACAAGCATTTAAGATTACTTATATATAAACCTATTTATGAGTATTTAATTCTGCATATTACTAAAGGCTCATTTTTCAATCAAGATTTTTTGCAAATATAATTTACTTTATAAAACTAAAGAGAGAGCTTACTGTACACCTGATGGTAACTGGCTACTGCAGTTCATAACACCTGCATTCGACTTCTATCAAAGAAGGCTACACATGTGTCGTCACCTCTGAACACTATGATAGAATACTTTACAGCAGGCACCGGCTCTTTATATCCTTCCGAACGAAACACAGCAGTGTAAGTACTTTTAGTTGGTGACAGAAATAAGTGAGAGGTTTTATACGTGGTAGAGCCATGCTGCAGCTATATTAGTAGTATAGTTGTAGCACGAATGAGTCGGCTCCACCGGGGAAGGACTACGCTACCACGAATACCAGCGTAAAATAGCAGCTTACCACTGCCGTGTTTCGTTTGGTGAATGTAGAGAACCGGAGACCCTTTTTACTGGAAAAGAGGTATTCCATCTTAGTCCTCACGGGTGACAACGGATCTGCATTTTGATTTTTTATTGAGGATAGGTGTAGATGTCTATGGGTCGCAGCAACCACTTACCATCAGGTGGACTGTGTGCTCGTTTGTCACTCGATCCTATAAAAAAAACTCCTAGACAGAATAAGAGTACTATTAACTAGTATTATTTTCTATTTTGTCCTTTGAATAACATTATCTTATGATTGGAAAATCAGCCCTTAAAGGAGAGGTTCTATTCAAAGATTGAAGGATGAAATTATGAAAACTCAATATCTTCCAATCAGTACGGCAATAGTTTATTAAAAAAATATCGAGTAACTTAAAAAATATACACGAAAACAAAAATGCAAAATTCAACTCATCAACAATAAAATCAATCTCTTAAGGTAATTAAGAAAATTGTCACATTTTTACTGTTCTACCCGGTTTCGCGCGGGTGATTTCTGGATCTCGTAAACAGCGTCACCTATCTGGTCCAACTATAGCTACGAACCATTCAGTTAACTCATAAGTATCTCAAAGTAAACATTTAAAGCTAATTGAAAAGACTTGAATCATAAATAAATATTAAACGTTCATTTTAATTACGACTTCAATACTACAATGATTCACAGTGCGTAAATTCTGACAAAATCGATTTTCATGTCAGCATCGTACCACGTGGGGAACCAAGTATCTTTTGCGTTCCAGAAATTGACCATAGCCTTGTTGTTTTTGTTCCTCCAAGGCTTCTCGTGAACATCAGCAAAATCGTGGATGCCGCCAACCCGAAGGCCAAGGGACATGTAGAACTGTATTTAAAAAAAATTGTTTATTAATAATTGCTTTTTTATCACTTTTTTCTTAAACTTTACTAAACCGTTGTAGCAAAACTCTAATAGTTTATAAACGTAAATAGAATCGGATATAGTGGATGTACTGGAATAAATACAAAGCCCATTGAAAATAAAAGCATTAATTTCAGTTTTGCAAACATTGACCCCGATTGTCAACCGTAAAATCAAAAGAATCAGTTTGTTTATACTTGTAGAAAGAAATAAAAACAATTTAAGCTTCTTGAATTCCGTATGACTTCGTAAGTACTGTTATTATCAAATCTAAAATAAAAAATACCAATTTGTCCAATGGTGCCATTACTGATCCCCTAGCCCAGAGTGAGGCGTGCTGCACACCTTGCTGCATAGCACTGGAGTAAAATCCTTCTCCGGGGTCAATGGTACCGTATAATTCCCCATCAACATACAATTGCATACCATCTGAAAAGTAAAAATATCAATCAGATTTTAATTACAAACGCGTCCACAGTTCACCTGATAATATGGCCAGATACCCATAGACCTGCAACTAGTGAAATAAAAGGAAATTAAATGTTATACTTTATTTCTTAGACGTTATAAAATAAATTTCGTTAATGAAATGTCATTTTTTTTAAACCTATTAACTCTACTACCGTCTCGCAAGGAGATTCCTCTGATCGGAGGAAACCGGCGAAGGAAACTCTCATTTTGTCTTTTTTAAATTAAAATTACATACCTACCATATTATACAGAATGGAAAGCTATAACAGACCCATCGGTAACTGAAGTATGTTCTATCAGGTACTTAAAAAGACGATTAAAAAAATAAAGCTTATAAACGTATAGTGAATCCAAGCAGAGCAGCTTCTTCAAGCAGCACTGTTCACAAGTGTGACGCATGTGGCAACCATCGCCCTCCTCGACCATATAAAGAGATATGGAATACCCTCCACTCGACTCTGCCGCTTATAATAATAACAAGTTATTTTTTTAATATGCTACGTTCTTTTTTCGATTTTGAGCTATCCCACAATATTCCAAATTTCAAGGCTCTAGGTAATTGGGAAGTTAGTTGAAAATCAGTTACTAAATTCAACACGAATAGACATACACGAAAGTGTGTTGATAAAAACGGGGTAATTATTCGGGGTAATAGTCACAGTTTCCCTCATTCGTTCTTATAAAAGCTTAACGTATAACTGGCACAATGAAATAAATGATAATTCTAATTATAATTACAGCACAAGACCACTGCTGAACATAGGCCTCCCCCTAGGAATGTCACAAAGCACGGTCCTGAGCCACGTGCATCCATCGACTTCCTGCATTTCTTACCAGGTCGTCACCATCTGGCGGGGACGCCATACACTTCGACTGCCGGTACGAAGCTGCCACTCGAGTACCTTTCTTCCCCATCGGTTGTTGGTTCTTCGAGCTATATGGCCGCCCCATTGCCACTTCACCATACTAATTCTTTGGGCTATGTCGGTTACTCTGGTTCTACAACGGATATCCTCGTTTTTAAGTCTATCACGCAGAGAAACACCGAGCATATCCCTCTCCATTCATATTATAATTTCGTTTAATTATTATAAATAGAACCTGAATTACCACATTCTACAAAAAATACAGAGGAAAGAAACAAGTTTCTTGTTCTCTACAAAGCCGGCATTTAAAACCGGCAGTGCGGATTTTTACATTTATATATTTAAATGAGTTTATATTTTTCACTTTGAATGATTAACCAAAAGGAACTGGAAGCGTACGCCTATCTCTTTAATTTGAAATTGGAAATACAATGATCACTGCTGCTTTTTGACAGAAATACGAGAATGTTCCCTTCACAGACGACTCCTAATCAGAAAAAACAAAGATAGAAAAAGCCCATAACTAACTGTGGATTGTCAACGGACTAATGATGATGACAGGAGCCGGCTTATATACGATAACCATGTCAATAGGATTATTACAGACCCAAAGTATATCCAAAATCGAAATACAGCAAAGAGTCAATTTAATTATTTTTTTACTCTGGAAAACTTAAGCTATAACATCATCATCATCATCATTACAGCCCTTCATAATTCCACTGCTGAACATAAGCCTCCCCCAAGGAATGCCACAAAGCACGGTCCTGAGCCACCTGCATCCTTTGATTTCCTGTATGTCTTACCAGGTTGTCACTCCATCTAGTGGGGTGTCACTCTACACTTCACCTACCGGTACGAGACTAAAACACCAACTAATACATAAATATGTAGATAAAGTACTAGTTTTCACAGATAGAATTAAATCAGTGAGACTTTGAACGGTTAATATAAAGGAGAGATGTAATTAAAGAAGTAACTAGAAAGCACATAGTTTTGTTTACGAACAGTCATGTTAAATAGGTCCAAAGTAACAAATAAGTCTATGTCTAATTGTTTTGCCATAGTATTGTAACTTGTGCTCTTTTTAAAATGAATTTTGTCGACAGATGGCTTTATTGGAAGGGACTTGAAGAAGGTTATGTTTCCTTAGCAGAACAGACAGTGTGTACAGTCCTATTTTATATGTATAGCAACTCTGAACAGTCAAAATTATCGCTAATATTAAAATCATATTATAAATGTAAAAATGTTTGTACCTGGTTTCCATACTAGACTGTAATTATGGAAATCTCTGTTCCAATTTTCGATACCTATTTTCTCTTTCATAAGGTATGAACGGTAGGGCTCTGAATCAGATAAAATTGGACCTCCATATAGTTTTTTCGCATAAATATCATTTCCTTTTGCGAAAGCAATTCTCATAAGTCCAGATTCGTAGTAACGATTTCCGTAAACGCTATCACGTGGCTCCAATGTTATTTCTGTGAAATGGGTCTACCATTAACAACAAAAATAAAAAAGTTGGTTAAATATTGCGTATTAGTATGTTTATGTCTGTATGCAAGTGTGTGAGCGTGTGTGTTGTGTGTGCGTGTGTGTGCGCGCGCGTGTGTGTGTGTGTGCGCGCGCGTATGTGTGTGTGTGTGTGTGTGCGTGTGTGTGTGTGTGCGCGCGTGCGTGCATCCATGCGTACATGTTTTATCTGATAATCGCGTTGTCACCTCCAAGGAATGAGATGTAATGTCTTGCTACCCGTAAAGGGTATCCCAATGTCGTCACTGACCATATGAATATAACAACAAAATTCTGCTGTTTGCCTTGTACTGGCAGCGTAAAGGAAACCACGACCTGCAAATATACCTCGGGTGTCATAAGAGACGACAAAGGGAAACAGAAACACGAGATGCAGCAGCATCTTCCTGATATCAACTGATTGATAACAAAAAATCTCCGGTCACCAATCCGAGAGGAAATCCATAGAGAAGTCCTGTGTTTATGCAGCCATGGTGAAGGCCTCCGTTACAGCGGTGGACATATCATAGCCTTAATGAATGAATTAATGTTACTCGTTCTATCTGCACTACCCTCACTCTTACAGTCCAATGAAATGGCGATCCGATATGACCAAATAGAGGCCTGGTGCAGGACCAACAGCTGTACGTGTTTCCCGAGTTATGGGAGCGAAACACCGCCAACTTCTTGATTGGCTGCTACAGACAGATTCGAACTCCGGCAAGTACAGCAGTTGCATTTACGGTCACTACACTAAAGAGGCATTGAATGTTTAATAATAAAATCAATCCGACCGTCAACGTTGCTGTGCTTGTAATTTGTGTTACTGAAAAGATTGTATAATCTCTGAATCTCTAGGGATTTTTCGGACTAATTCCAGGAGCCCAATTTCACCATCGCACATCTTAATGATTGGCGGTCCACCACTGTGCGATTTAGAAGAAGGTTTCTTCCTCGCACAACTTCCTTGTGGAATCGACAACCACCAGCGACTTTTCCGGAACGATACAACTTAGCGACCTTCAAGAAAAGAGCCTACTCCTTTTTAAAAGGCCGGCAACGCATCTGTAATTTCTCTGGTGTTGCATTTGTTCATGGACTACCTCCAGTCACTTATCATCAGGTGAGCCGCATGCCCGTATGCCCCTTCTCCTATAAACAAATAAGAAGTCTTACCCGGTAATAACCAACTACCAGAAGGTAACTTGGCGCGAACTTCAACTCTACCAAATTTGAAATTAAACTTATTTCTGGTTGTTATTTTGCCAGTAACGACAGGCGGTAAAATTTGTGCACCTGATGCCACTTGTCTGCATTCCCTCGTTCCAATCAATCCAGTGCATCTGAAAAATAATTAAAATTTGTAATTTTAACAGCCCATATAATGTATGAAGATAAATTTAATAAAATCGTAATCATATAAAACAGTTTGTGGCCTGGACGTGTCACAGGCAAAGTAAAAAAAATAATGGTATTCGGATGTAGGACCAATGTCCCTTTGACACTTATTACTTACAAGTTACATACACTTTTAAAAAGGTACTAGAGGCCTTTTGTACAAAATGGTACCTGTGCTCGAGCCCTATTGGAATAGTGTACGCCTTAAAACCGCTTTTCACTGCAAAGAGCGAAAATCCACCTTTAATGATAAGAAAACTCTTACAGAGGAGGACACGTCGTTGCCTTTGTGTGTGTCTTTAAAAAAGTGCCTTTGCAACTCTAAATGTTCCACAGATGAAATCGATCAGAAATATATATAACGTAAAGCCACAGTTATAGGACACAGATTAAAATTACCCAATAAGAAGGTTTTCCACATAATTGAGTCAGATTCGTTCATCAGAAACAAAAAACCATAGTAGTAAGAAAATAAATTATAGGCCTTGAAACTTTAAATGTATTTTGTTCTTTAACTGCTTATAAAACCTTAAAGCCAGCAATGAAATTCCTGCTTTTATTTAATCATTGAAGGCCTAATAAGGCTATGATTAATATTATAATCATCATGCATAGCTTCTAAGCAATTAACTGTTTAGATTAAATTAAAAAAGCAGTTACATCATATATTATGATAATACGAGTATAACATATATTATGTTCTACTGTTGGAATTAAAATCAGCATCAGAATCATTTATTTCGTAGATCTTAGATATTACATAGATGTTAGTTACATATTATATAATCAAGTTCAACTTAGTCCTACCCTGTTGGCAATTTTTTTATAGGAGACGGGGCAAACGAGAATGCGCCTCACCTGATTTTAAGTGGTTACCACCGCCCATGAACAACTGTAACACCAGGCGAATTGCAGATGCGTTGCCGGCCTTTTAAAAAAAGGTAGGCTCTTCTTGAATGTCCCTAAGTAGTATCGATCCGGAAAATTCGCTGGTGGTTGTCGATTCCACAAGGAAGTTATGCGAGGAAGAAAACTTCTTGTACAGTGGTGAACCGCCAGTCATCCAGATGGTATGGATCTGGTCAGGTAAGATCACAGGTCTATTATTTTGTGACGAGTATGGAGTAATTAGCTCGATTACTTGCTCCAGTGTGCGTTTGTGAATTTACATTTTTTTTGTATAGAAGAGGGGACAAACGAGCATTCGTCTCACCTGATGGTAAGTGACTACCGCAACCCATGAACAACAGCAACACCAGGGGAATTGCAGATGCGTTGCCGGCCTTTTAGAAAGGTGTAAGCTCTTTTCTTGAAGGTTCCCAAGTCGTATTGGTCCGGAAAATTCGCTGGTGGTAATTGATTCCACAAGGAAGTTGTGCGAGGGAGAAAACTTCTTTTAAATCGCACAGTGGTGGAACGCCAATCATCCAGATGATATGGATGGTAACGCGAGTTTTGTCGCGATGTGCGATGGTGAAATTGAGCGGCTGGAATTAGTCCGAACAATTCCTCAGAGCACTCCCCGTGATAGATGCGATAAAATACGCAAAGAGATGCAACGTCTCTACGCAGTGCCAGTGTATCGAGCCGATCAGAAAGAACTCGGTCGTCGACGATTTGAACCACTCGGCGCTGGATGCGGTGAAGTGGAAGGAGCTGGCACTGGGGTGCCCCGGCCCAGAGATGAGAACAGTATTCCATGTGGGGCCGAACTTGCGATTAAATCTTACATCCTCGAGATATTTCATTCCTCGGACATACAGGTTTCTTCACGATGTTTTACTTCATTAATGAGCATGTAAAGTAAATCAGCACTTAAATTTTAAACAATAACTTTTTAATTACTAACGTACAAATAAGAGCTTAGATGAGTGGGGGTTTAGGTCTCAACTCCTTTACCGGCGAAGCTCACGCGAAGGCTCACTTTTCAAATTTATGTGTTTGGTGGAATTCTAGAATTTCTTAGACGATTTGTTTTCGGAATAGCTACAAGAGTTTCCTAAAATTTGTAATGATACTCACATATTGCTCAAATCCAATTCCTCATTCAGGAATCCCTCATGGTGCAAAGATTCTAATAGCAGTGGAGATATGACCAATAATCCGTTATCGAGGCGGAGTGTGTGGTCTGGCATATACACATTAAAGGGGTAGTCCTGAAACAAGCAAAGAAATCAGACGAAAATGAACATATAAATTAAATTATAACTTTTTTCTCAAGTAGGCGGACGAGCCTTACTTGTACTCGTAGTTGGAATGTGTACAGACACGCGTGCTTGAGTACACACGGACAGTAACCGATTGCAAACCATTCATTAAAACATATATTACAATAATTTATTGAGTGCAAACTACTTATTAAAACAAACATCGGTAGAGTGTGTCTTTAATTACTGCATTTGTTCTTGGGTGATGCCTCTAAAAGCCATTTAATCATTGCTTAACGCGTACAAAGAGCTATATTAAAACTAATATTTCGTCTACCATTTCACCAATCAACAGTATCTGTATACGACAGAAGGAAAGTGTTATGTGTCTGTAAAACATTTATTTTTCAAAGTTTAAGGAGACATCATCGAGTCCCTGTCCCTTGAACTAAAACTGAGCAATAAGAGAACAGAACGATGCACTGTTCCAAGACCAAAAAATGCATTATAATATGTTGTATTTAGAATACATTTTGACTTTTTAGCCACTAGGATTTATAACAAACTTAGTTAATGTCATAACATAGGATCACTAAATAACTGAAATAAAAAGCAAAATAATTGTCTAAAAAATCGTAAAAAATAAATGTCCTACAAATAACTGTTTGTCTGGCCGTTTGTCCTTGTGAAATCTATGTACGTAAACTGTCCCCGAGAAAATCCTCGTGTGGATGTAACGTTTTTAATAAGAAAAAAATAAGATACGGAATGCACATATTTTTTCGTAATTGTTTATTATTTTTTGCAACCATACCAAAATTATATTAATTTTTTATTTCTCTTTTTTATTTTTACCATAACCTACTTTTAAAGGAATACTTGTAAATATAATATGTATCGATAAGCAAATGTTTGTAAAAGAGTTATTATAAATAGGGATAAACACTACACTAACCCTTGAAATACGGGTATACCTAATATTCTAGTTTAGAAGCTGTTGGTCACTCTAATGTAATATGTTTATCAATAAAGATTATTATTATTATCACTGCAGGAGCGTTAGCCAGTCCATAGTAATCAAACAAAATAATGCTAGCTACAGCGGCGGCCTTAGGGGGTGGCGAACAGGGCAATAGCCCGGGGCCTCTCTCTTGCAGGGGCCTCGCGCAACAACCCAAGCAAATTTTAAAAAATATAAATTATTTAACTATATTTTTTATTTAAAACTTTTGATTTTGATTTGTTATAACATAACGGTAAATTAAATAAAGTTTATTAATTAATTCATTCATTCAAAACATAATTGAAAAATTCATTATGTAGTACTTGAATATCGCGCCTCGAAACACTTGAAGTTTGGTTTTTTAATCGGAATTATTTTGCTTGCAGTATACAAGCAAAATAGTTATAAAGTCGTTACTGTACCGTACATATCCTTAAATTTTATTGAATATTACGTTCTTATAGTATTTAAAATATTGAGTGAGCTGGAGAAGTGTAAATTATAGTATTTGAAGTATTGAGTAAGTTGAAAAAGTGTAAAAAACTGTGTGATACTTAAAAATTATTTCTGACTGTTTGTGCGAAACAAAACAAGATTTACGAAATGAGTTCGTGTGATCGTGATGCCGGTAGAAAATTTGAGTCTGGTAGTTCAAATAGGAAACGAGCTGTCAAAAGAAAGCAGGTAAAAGAAAATCTACGGGGATATTTATATAAATATATAAAAAGAGATGATCAAGAAACCTCTACAAAACATTTATTGACTGAAAGTGACTCTAACCCTGATCCAGCTGAAAATATTCCTTCCACATCATCATGGGTGCGGCCGCCGACATTAAGTAAAAACATTGAGGATGACGATGAATTAACTACATTATTGTCTCTTAGGTCACCGGTGCCGCCGTCAACGCTATTCAGTCAAGCACACGAATATAAGCCCGAGTCTATGTCTAATCCATGGCTGCTGGAATAGAAAATCTGAATCCTCAAAATGATCCCGGTTTGTGACCTACAACCATTATTGATGTAGAACAAACTGAGATTGTATTGAAAGGATCACAAGGAAGGGTTAAAGTTGATTTATTTCCCGTAAATAATAATGGACGGCGATTCAGCGAATATCATTATAATAAGATATTAGTTAACGGTGAAAAGCTTGACAGGCGCTGGATGATTTATTCACAAACAAAGGATGCCGTTTACTGCTTTCCGTGTCGAATATTCGGGCTAGAAAATACAAAGATCGGATCAAGTGAAGGAGTGTGTGATTGGAAACACTTGAGTGATTACCTAAAGTCTCACGAATCTAGTCGACAGGACAAAAATTGTATGTTGAAATGGATTAATTTAGAGAATGGTTTAAAAAGCTGTTCCACTATTGACTTCTTGGCCCAGTCACAAATTGAACAAGTAAGGCAACGTTGGAGAGATATTTTAAAACGATTGCTCGCAATTGTAAATTTTTCAGCATCTCACAATTTGGCCTTCAGGGGTCATAGAGAGAAATTAACATCTGACTCAGATTCGAGTGAGAAAAGCGGCAACTTTATAGATTTAGTAAAGTTAATAGCCCGATTTGATCCCGTGATGAGACTTCACCTAAAACAAGTAAAGGATAAGACGATTAATGACCACTATATAGGAAAAAATATTCAAAATGAGCTCATACAATTAATGGCAAGTCACGTGAAGACTCACATTATTGAAAAACTAATAAATAATAAATATTACTCGATTATTCTTTATTGTACTCGCGACGTTTCTCGTGTTGAGGAACTTTCAATTATTATAAGATATTTTAATACAAATACAGCTGAAATTGAAGAACATTTATTGGTTTCTTAGCCGTCGAAAAAACCACAGCTGAGAGTTTGACTAATTATATAATTACAGAATCTCATTGCAAAACTGCAGAGGCCAAGGATATGATAATGGTGCTGGAATCTCATCCTAGGAGATACAGCAGCGAGAGAAATGGCCGAGGAAAATGATATTGACAGACAGTGTTGAAAGAAGTCAGAAAACGACGTAAAAAAGGCATTTTCATTACGAAGGGGAAGATGAAGCTCATGAATTGAATGCGGAAGAAATTTTCAAAATAAACTATTTTTATGTCATTGTCGACAATGTGCGCGCAAGCTGCTAACCTAGGTTTGAGGCTCTTAAACATCATGAGAGCATATTTGGTTTCATGTATAATATAAAAAGATTAAAGGAAATTAGTGATAGTGAAATTTTGAAGCAATGCAGCGACTTACAAATATCTTTGACAGTAGGAGACTCATGTTATATTGATGGACATGAATTGTACGAAGAACTCAATATGTTCATCTGTGTGTATGAAGGAAACGACGATATTATCTCGGTGCTGAAATACATAATAGAAAAAAAATTAATTGAAGTTTACCCCACTATCGAATAGACCACACTATTGCTACCACACCTGTTACAGTTGCGTCTGCTGAAAGGAGTTTCTCGAGGCTTAAAATTATTAAAACATATTTGAGAAATTCGATGACACAAGATCGGCTTTCAGCCATTGCCATTCTTTCAATCGAAAATGACGTAGCTCATTCGTTAAATTATTGTACTTTAATTAAAGATTTGTCGTAGGAAAAGCCGCAAACATCAATTTTAAAATTTATCATCTCTGTATTTGTTAATTTTATAAATCTTTCAATGTAAAATATTTTAAAACTCAAATTTTATATATTAGCATAACTTTAGTATTTCTCCTCAAACATGACAAATACCAAAACCAAACAATCAGACCTACTTTCGCATCACATCCTTTTCACGAAGGACAAAGGGCCTCGCAAAGACCTGCCGCCCGGAGCCTCGCAATGGGTAAGGCCGCCTCTGGCTAGCTATTTTAGTTTCTCAAGCTTACTCACACTAAAACAACGTGCATGTGCACCTACACTCACAAGTAAGACCAACCCGCCATCGTGAATTAACAATACTATAAAAGTGTAAGACAATATTATTTTAACTAAAGCTGATGAACGTCCACAAAACCAACATGGTTTCGTGTACGTTCATCAGCTTGGTTGTGACGACGAGAACTGAATTTGGTTCGCTAACATACTATAAAAAAATTTACGGCTTCAGGTATCCCTGCCAGCTACCACTACGACCGGCCCATTCCCATCTGTTTATAACAAAATATTTACAATATGTATAAATAATAGAGTTTAAATTGTTATTTACGGCTATAAATAATGTTTAATCAGATATCATGTCTAGGGTCAAAACAGAGATATTGCAATAAATAATAAAATATTGAGTTAAATAAAATATACAGATATATATTATGATATACGCTTCTAGATGTTATTTATTTAGTTTGTATATTTCACACTATACGAAAAGACGCACAGAGTATGTAAAAAAAATACATATTGTGGTGGTGTCGACAGGAATCTCTTACAGACATTAAATACTCGTATGTTTAAACCAACCGTTATGTTCCCACGATTGTTAATGTATGATAGTTATATTATATATGTATTAACAGTTACTAAAACTCACCGGTTCCTGTGGAAATTTGACTTCAGAGTTCCAACTTGATAAATCTCTCATATTAGTCTTATCAAACTCCTCGCTGAAGATGAGCTCCCCTTTACAAACACTATTGCGTCCTAGTACAGCGGTTTGTGATTGCACGCATGTAGGAACAGGCTGACTAGTTTGTCCTGGTTTGGTCGTATACTGCTCGGTAGTTACGGATGGAGACGGTGTTTGTTGACCATCTATGATCGCTGGGCTTCCATCTTCATTAACAAACTCTAGAATTTAACAATTTTCTTTAATAACATAATATTAACACTCACGCCTGTCACACAAAGTAGTAGACAGAGACTACGGAATTCCATTTGGCACGATCCTGACACACCTCTCTCGCCTCCTTTACATCCATATACCTACGCATACATGCTCGTCGGTTAAGGATACTCTTAATCTGGTCTATCTTCAATATATCGTCAACTTGGTCGATAATCTTTCGTCTAGAGCATCACTTTCTTAGATACTTGGATAAAATGAGCCTTATTTTATCCATTGAACATCGTAAGAGGCCGCCAAAAAGACCTTACGGCTTTCGAAAAGCTGCATAAATGTTATCCCCTTTTACGCTTGACATAAAAAACCGATGACGGGGAGCAGCCTTAAAGATAAACGTCTAGTCCTGTGATATCCAATCCACCTGCCAAACGTACCTGTTATATCAAATGGCAAAAAGATAAAGAAAACGATGAAGAAACATATGTTGTTCTATAAGACATTACAGAATATAATTGGGATCAATTATCAGAAACAGCAAGAGAAGGCAAAATATTTTTTATTTGATTGGTAATAATGAAAAAGAACAGAAGATTACTCTTTAATGACTTATCCTTGACACGCTACTTTAAATGTAAATTGAAGCTATAACGCAAATTATAAAGTAAGGTTGGCACAGTCTAATCACAATATTTGACCGCAAATGATTGAATCTGAATAAGTTATTTATATTTTATTATGTCATGCATGTCCGAGAGCCGAAGTAGCTTAGGGACTTTCGTTTCGCTTTGGTTTCGATCCCCGCCGGCACCAATGAAATTGTTAGTTGCAATTTTAAGTGCTGATTCAGAACGTGCTTGGCGGTGAAAAAATATGTACACCGTGGAGAAACCGGCATGTCTGAGGAATAAAATATAGAGATATCACGAATAGTGATTTTGCCGAATATCGAATATCGAATACCCGGCCACGCTTTTAGCCGAAGCGCCAAACATTCGTCCTCCGAAAATATATAAATTTTTGAGCAATATTTGTGACATTTTCATGATTTGATATTCGGTATTCGGCCGAATAGTTCGCCGAATAGGCCGAATACCGAATAGAAACCGAATATTTGTGGAACATCTAATAAAATATTTTTCGGATATGTGGATTCCACCAACTTACACTTGAGCAGCGCGGCTAACTATTCGCTTTAAAACCCCTCTCAGAAAAGAGAGGAGAGAAGACACATGATAGATAGAAGACATAAGATATTCTACGGGGGAAGCCTATGTTTAACAGTGGACTTTGAGAGACTGTAATGATTATGATGTTGGAAATCGTCCAATTTAAAAACGCACACGCCTATCTTGTATTTTAGTTGATTTTATCACATTTATCGCATATTGTGTTTGAGTAGATTTTAGCATTTTCGCTACATTTGATATAATAAAGGTGAAAAAATCTACCAAAAATAAATGGGTGCCGTTTAAAATTAAACCATCTTAGCTCAAAATCAAAGATTGACTCGTCTCCAATAAAAAGAATCCCCGGTTCACTAGTTCATATAAGTAAAATTGAATCAAATACATAATCTTAATAGGTTTTTATATGACAAACGTATTGATAAGGAAAACAAATTTCGGAACAAGATTTCCAATATTTTGTTTTTTGTAAAATTTTCTTTAAAACATTTTCTGATATCGAAATACTAAAAGACGCTCACCGGTTACAGTCCATTCGCCATTATCTTGTCGGTATCCTAAACCATTTTTAATAACATAAGTCCAGAAATAAATCTTGTCTCCAATTTTCAGTTTCACGTTTTTGTCCTTAAATGTCCACCTTCCATCTTTAACTTTTGTTATGTCTCTTGCCCATTGACCCGCTTCCAAGCCATCCATTTCCTCATTGAGATTACCATGAAAAGCAAATAGAGTAAATCCATCATCTGAAAAAGTTATAGCAATATTTTCAATTACACCATCATTATCACCATGGAAATGGATCTCTCTGTAAACGGATTACTAATCAGTAATTATAATATCAGATGTATTATGCAGTTCTATATTCAAATGTTTAATAAATTATTCATACTATATATCTGTCAGCAGCCATACGAAATATTCTATAATATCCAATTCGATTTTCAAACATATATAAAGTTTGTATATAAAGTTTGAGAATTTACGACACGATTCAGTTTTAATATGGACATTCCACAACAAAGCTACTGTTATTTTTTTTTTAAATAATAACGCGTCATAAAATTATTCTAAAATTGGAGGATTTTCATTACCTGGAACAGACACTCGCAATCCTTGAGGGTAAATTGCTTCAAGCTTTGCCGGTGGAACTGTATATGCTTGTATCAGGATATCACAATATATAAAAAATGTTATTATCACGTTAACGATGCTAAATTGTCGCGCCATGACGTCCGAACTTGTTCTCGGCCGTCAGTACACTAAGCATTAAGTATTTTATCTTTAAGCATAAGAGCAATACATTAGGTCATTGTTTGCATGGTCATGCATCTTTACTTGAGGATAGAGGTACGTAACAATTATATAGCTATTCTTAATTGAATATTAATTAGTAGGTACTTTTAAAACATAGCCTTTTATAAAGACTCGTTTCTACCTCCTTTTCTGTCCGGTAGTTGATCTGGTTAGGTACCATACTCTTCTGCCACCAAATAGCAGTGCATGCACTGCTGTGTTATGGTTGTGGTTCCGAACTGAAAGAAATGCCAGAAAAAGAATGCCAGTAAAGCATTCCTTATTGTAATTTTGCATCAGCAGCTTCCTTTATAAAAGTTGGTTGCAGTTGTTCATGGCCCACAGCCACTTACCATCAGGTGAGCTGTAAACTCGTTTGATAAAAGTAGTTTTATGATATGTACTATCTTCTTAGTTTTTGTTGATCCCCTTCTAAACATAGGCCTTTTAAAAAATCTTAATCTTAATATGATTTCTTTTGATGATGCTTCGTTTGCTAATGTTGCTGGCCCTTAGACATTTACATCTCCTCTGCATCCTGAATACGAAAGTGCAGATTCGTTGTCACCCCTGAGGACTGAGATTGAATGCCTCATTAGCAGAAAAAAAGATCTCCGGTTCTCTACACGTACCATACTAAACACAGCAGCATTAAGCTGCTATTTTACGCTGATATTCTTGAAAGCGTCATTCTCTCCTGGTGGAGCCGATCCATTTCTACTACAACCATAATATAGCTGCAGCGTGACTCTACCACGTTATTAAAGGAGATATATACTTAAGAAATAGTTCAATATTAAAGAATTTTCAATAATATTTATATCTCTTAAATTTTCTTCGGACTGGTTAGGCCAGTTGCTTAATAGAAAACCCATTATCAAAATAATGATGAGGTATCTATTAGATAATATGTTTATTACAAACTAGTATTTGTAAACAATATTATGTAGTATAAATGTACATTGAAGGTTCTGTAAGAGAGAACCTAACCCATCATCAGTGAGTCCCATGGGTCACAAATGTTTCCAATTATACAAAATTCAGTAAGTCGTCTTACTTCTGTAAATGCGGGGAAACATATCATAGTGTGTGATAGGCTTGGGCCTTGGGTATGTCATGCTCGCTTACGGCGGTGTTATATATCTGGTCGTCCACTTCCCTTATGTATGGTTGAGAAGAGCGATGGCTGCTATACTTGTGAACAAGTGCTGCTGGTTTGCTTGGGTTCTCTATACAACTATAAAGACCAAATTTTAAAACTTTTTTGAGTACATTATTGAACATACTTCGGTGACCGATGGGTCTGTGAGGACATATACACATAGATAGACTACTTACAAAGGCCAGCATCTTCATTAGGTTTTGCGCCGCGGTAGTATAACATTTTAATGTTATACTTAAACATTCACAAAACAACAAATACCAGGTAATCGCAGGTGCGTTGCTGGCCTTTCAAAAAGGAATAAGCTCGTGTATCCGTATCTCCTATTATTATGTGTACAATTAATTCTATTTAAAAGCTATAGAGCGCATGTTAGTGAGTATGAACAGTAAGCACGGGTATGGACAGTCTCGAAATAGCAAGGGTTATTAGTCACACGATTTAATTGTTTCTCTCGACTACGAACAGAGGAACCTCATTTCAAAATAGTAGTTCATTTAGTAGGTTTAAAAAATGACATTTGAATAATAATATTTTCTTACGTCCAAGAAATATATTTATTTTATTTTACCTTTTTATTGGTGATGCTACTCTCTATCACTAGCTTTTGGGATTACACATACCCTCCACATCAATTACACATACCCTCATCATGATTGGATCTCCAGCGCCCTTGTCTAGTGGTCGTAATCACGTACGCTGATCATGCGGTTCTGGGTTTGAATCCCGAGTCGAGCAAAAATCAGATTATTAATTCTTTTGTCAAGAAATTCTCATTAAGTAAAGTGAAAAGTAAAGTTGCAGCCTATTTACGTCCCACTGCTGGGTACAGGCCTCCTCTTCTTTCTGAGAGGGTTTTAGGGCAAGGAAATGTCCGCCGCGCTGCCCCAATGTGTGTTGGCGAACTTCACATGTCTTCGAAATATTTTTTTTCTTATTCCTCAAACATGCAGGTTTCCTCACGATATTTTCCTTCACCGCCGAGCACGTGGTCAATCAGCACTTAAAATTGCAATTAACAATTTCATTGGTACCGGCGGGGATCGAACTCGAGTTGCTCGAGTACTGTGAAGCTTACAGCGAGCGCTAACCATCTGAGCTACCACGGCTCCTCCAAGAAATTATCATTGGCAGTCCGTAATCAAGAAATTGGTGTATGGTGTATCACCCCCGTGCCTCTGAAAGTACGTAAAACCGTTGGTCCTGCACCTGATCTCTCTCCGGTCGTCAGATTACCGTCGGCTTACTGTACCATCGGACTATGAGAGTGAGTTGCTCGCTGGAATTGAAAGTGCACTGTGCTTGCGCATACACTCTGCCAATAGTGGCATCCGTGACTGAAATTTGGGCCGGAGAACATTATTATTTGCCATACCAGTATTTGTAACCCGCCTGCCGGGTCGATACCCGAAGTTTTTTTTTAAATTATTTTAACTTGATATCATTAAGATGCTGCCTATACCCTGTTTTATTTCCCTCAGTCTCCTCTTAACAAAATACAAGACACCACACACTTGTCGGAACAAACTGGTTACTGAATGTCGCTACTGACATTAAAAATAAAAATTCATAACGGTCAAACTCTATACAGACGCTTAATATGTATATGGGGATGGGTCTTCAAACAAACTTTGTTGTCACTGAATTTACTTATATTTTTTTTATTAAAAGTTAAATTTAATTAAAGTTACAACCAATATACGTCCCACTGCTGGGCACAGACCTTCCCTAATTTCTAGGATTTTAGGGCAAGGAAAAGTCTGCCGCGCTGCCCCAATGCGTGTTGGCGAGCTTCACGTCTTCGAATCTTTTTTTCTTATTTCTCAGACATGCAGCTTTCCTCACAATGTTTTCCTTCACCACCGAGCACGTGGTAAATTAGCTCTTAAAATTGCAATTAACAATTTCATTGATGCCGACGGGGATCGAACCCAGGTTGCGTACTGTAAAATTTACAGCGAGCGCTAACCATCTGATCTGCCACGGCTATTTTTTTATATTCAAGTATAATTAACACAACAAAAGAAACAATTCACTCCGCGACTCGTCTTACGTCTTTACCTCCGTCCTATCTTATCGTTCCTCGTTCTATATCTTAAGCATAGAGAATAGTAATATAACAGGAAATCTTATGTTTTTTTTTAATATGTAAAATAAGAGTGGCAAACGAGCACGCACACAGACTACTTGATGGTAAATGGATACTGTGGCCTATAGACATCTACATTTATCCTCGATTAAGAATCAATATGCAGATGTGTTGTAACCCCTGAGGATTAAGGTGGAATGCCTTATATCCAGTAAAAAGTGTCTCCAGTTTTCTACACTCACCATACGAATTACAGCAGCTTTTTTAAGCTGCTGTTTTACGCTGGTAATCTGTGAAAACATGGTCCTTCCCCGGTCAAGTTTTATACCAAGAAGTAAATAAATTACTACATTTCATGTGTTTATTACCATTTATGCCTCAGTCTCCCTGATCTTTGCTCGCTTGTGCTGTACCTATCATCAATGTAATATTCCATTTCTAACATCGTCTCATATTACATTCGTACATGTATGCTCTGACATCTTATTCGTTTTCCTAATATTATAAACGTGAAAGTTTGATGTATGGATGTTTGTTAATCTTTCACGCAAGAACTACTAAATGGATTTTAATGAAACTTTACAAATATTTATAACCCATACATATATTATATACTACATATAAGATATTGTGTAAATTGGTCAAAATATAACGATAAATGTTAAGTAAGTCAGAAAAAATCTGTCATCTGCGAGCTATACATTTGATACTCTATTTCCAACGCACATTTTGCAATAACAAATTGATTTTTATCAAAATTAATACTTTTATCGCTTCTAATATTCAAAATAGACAAACTTTGTCTTTTAAACTACGCAATTTGTTTAAATATTTTAAAAACTACGACGATATAAAATTGTGCAGTCCGGCGCGCGCAGGGTGGTCGGGCGCACAGCGGACGAGGTGGACATCGTTCATCGCTAAATATGATGCTTACGCATGGCAGACGCGTGAGCCTAGATTATTTATTTATACTTTAATAAAACTTTAACACGACGTCTGTCTGAACAGGCATCACGCAAAATCCTGTGAACCGATTTGAATCGGACTTTCACTGGCAGACAGCTGATGTAATAAGGAGTAAATAAGGTTACTTTTATTTTAAGGTTCCTCGAAAAATAATTCCACGCGGGCGATGTCGCGGGGAACAGCTAGTAATATTATAAATGTAAAAGTATACTTGTTTGGATGTTTCACCTTCAACTTTAAACAAGTTTGATCGACTGAACGGAATCTAATAAAATTTGGCATAGAAGTCAACAACATCGTAATATGGGACATAACGTACTTTTTAACAATTATAACTATAATTCAAATTACACCCCCACCAGCTAACCACAATTTTAAAAATACCTAAGGTTACATTGCGCGGAATTGAACTTCATATACTCGTAGTTTTGTTCAATTCAGTCTCTCTAATTTGAACTCATCATCATTTTCTTCATCATCCTAGCATAACAGGCCACTACTGGATATGGACTGTAATTATAGTAAGTGGTATTGGGTGTTATCACCACACTGTGCAGGTGGATTGGCGATTGTTATACCTGCACCAAATATATTTCCCGTTTGGCGCAACTTCTCTTCGCCGGCCTAGATATTTTCTCGAAACTGAGGAAGGGAACGACTTCCAGTGTACTGATGAACAGGTTTAGGATAAAGTGTCACCACAGAAATCTGAATAACGCGTCATCCTGACACCTTTCATAATTTAAATGTAAATTTTATCACAAATTATAATTCAATAGAAAAATTAGGTTTAATCATAATATTAGATGTAGTATTATAATTCTCTAGATAGATGAGCCTCCGCTAGATGGAGTAAAAACCTAGTAAAACACGCAGTAAGAATGTTCTTATTGTTAAATTGGTTTTAGGAATATTGTGAAAATAAATAAAAATACCTGTCAAAAATTTATTTTATTTATTTATAATTAGTAATGTCACATTACACTTTATCACAACTTAAAATTAAAAAATGAGTATTTTATTTTATGAAAAATGCATTCACATAAGGTATATAATAAAATCACAGCTATTAACATACTACTAACCCTATACGCTACATAACTATAATAGTAGCACTGCGAAATATTACTAAATAAAGCGGTTGAAATTGCATGTTATTTTCGATGACAATTGTATATTACAAATTATTGCATTTGAACAAAAATTAATAATCGCCAACTCATCTATCAGAATCGTGTTCCAATTCTATTATAATGCAAACTTAATAAACCAGTTTTTTTTCTGCCAATTTGTTTGTCTCTCAAGTAAAACATTAATTGAACAGAAATATGTCAAATATTTCTGTTCAATTCCACAATTCAACTTTGTAAGTTATTGTCCAACATAACAATTTTGTACGATTGTGTTCTCTACGCAATATTGAATAGGATTTTGTTAAGCTATGTTAGTTCGCTTTACCATCTTTGACCGTTTCACCTTTGGCTTTTGGCGCTTAGCCTCAAAGTTACCACGGCACGTTATAAATACGTAATAAAATGTTATTCTTTGTCCAATGTTTTTACTAAAAACTTAGCCCTAAAGCTACCACGGCTAGTTATAAATACGTAATAAAATGTTATTCTTTGTCCAATGTTTTTACTAAAAACTTAGCCCTAAAGCTACCACGGCTAGTTATAAATACGTAATAAAATGTTATTCTTTGTTCAATGTTTTTACTAAAAACTTTGCCCTATATCTACCACGGCACGTTATAAATACGTAATAAGATGTTATTCTTTGTCCAATGTAAACAAAAAAAATATATAAACATTGGATTGGATTGGTTCTAGGTGGTGGTTTTACCTATTACTTCCGCCAAGCAACAGAACATGTACTGCTGTGTTCCAGTCTAAAGTGTATAGAGAGACAGTACAACTACAGGCTGTGAGACACATTCCATCTTAGTCCTCAGAGCTGAGAACGCAACTGTATGTAACCGTCTTTATTTGATTATGGTGTCAGTAGTACATGAGCTGCAGTAACCAGCTCGTTTGCAACTTCAGTTTTATTTAAAAAAAAACATAAATTATTGCCTTTTAGGGTTCCGGGACCCTATTACTAAGCCTCCGCTGTCCGTCCGGCCATCTGTCTGTCAACGGGGTGTATCTCATGATCCGTAATAGGTAGACTGTTGAAATTTTCACAGAATGTGTATTTCTGTTGCCACCATAACAACAAATAATCAAAATTAAAATAGATTAATAATTAAAAAGCGCTCCCCTAAACGAGTCCGACTCGTGCTTTTACTTTCTTAACTTTTAAATTCGTTTACAACAAAATTCGCTACTTTTAATTTCATTTCATTCCAACCAGTCACAGCAATATGGCCTATATTAATCGGCAAGACGACTTATTATTTCTGTAATAATTTCCTATGTTCACACGAACACTACACATTACATGAAAATAGTTTTTAGATCTAGACCGGTAATTAATAATTTTAAACTGAAGGTAGCCGTGGTTAACTATGGCATTTGGACGTCGAACACTTCAAGCTCCCCGTGACCATGGGGTGCAGTAAAGTACTCGAAATTTCGAGAATATAAAATAAGTTAATATTTGCGATAAAATCCGTAAAAACTAGTTTCACTTTCTAATTTATTTTGAAAGAACCGATCTTCGCTTATAAGGCGTAAATTCTAACATAGTCCACTTTCATGTCAGGGTCGTACCAGGTTGGGAACCAGCTGTCCTTAGAATTCCAGAAGCTTATGGTCGCCTTATTGTTCCTGTTCTTCCAGGGTTTCTCTGGGCTGTCCGCAAAGTCGTGAATGCCGCCGACACGTAGGCCAAGGGACACGTAAAACTGCAATCAGAACAATACATACATACATACATATAATCACGCCTCTTTCCCGTAGGGGTAGACAGAGACCACTTCTTTCCACTTGCTACGATCCTCACATACTTGTCCACTTTACAACTAGCATCTATATTCATTTAAAATATGAGATAAAAAAAGTTTGCACGTGATTATCGAATTTTAGATGCAGGTTAATTTTATTACTCCTTTTGAATATTACGATATAAGTACACGCTTTTAATGAGTTACTGTAGAACTACAAGTGTTTTGTGTGAGTTCATGTATATATTTTTTTCTTTTTTTTTATAGAAGAGGGGGCAAACGAGCTTGCGGCTCACCTGATGGTAAGTGACTACCGCCGCCCATGAACAACCGCAACACCAGGGGAATTGCAGATGCGTTGCCGGCCTTTTAGAAAGGTGTAAGCTCTTTTCTTGAAGGTTCCTAAGTCGTATCGGTTCGGAAAATTCGCTGGTGGTAATTGATTCCACAAAGAAGTTGTGCGAGGGAGAAAACTTCTTCTAAATCGCACAGTGGTGGACCGCCAATCATCCAGATGGTACGGATGGTAACGCGAGTTTTGTCGCGACGTGCGATGGTGAAATTGAGCGGCTGGAATTAGTCCGAACAATTCCTCAGAGCACTCCCCGTGATAGATGCGATAAAATACGCAAAGAGATGCAACATCTCTACGCAGTGCCAGTGTATCGAGCTGATCGGAAAGAACTCGGTCGTCGACGATTCGAATCGCTCTGCGCTGGATGCGGTCAAGTGGAAGGAGCTGGCACTGGGGTGCCCCGGCCCAGAGATGAGAACAGTATTCCATGTAGAGCCGAACTTGCGCTTTGTAAAGTTGCAAGCGATGTGCCGGCATGAAATACTGTCTCGCTCTGCTGAGCACGCCAAGCTTTTTAGAGGCCAATTTGGCCTTCCCTTCCAAGTGACCACGAAACTGCACGCTATTCGATATGTCGACGCCAAGGATTCCGATACTGGCTGAGGCAGCAAGGGGAGTGCCTTGAAACTGAGGAGATACGACAAAAGGGTTCTTTTTAGCGGTAAACGCGCAAACTTGTGTCTTCTGGGGATTGAACTGGACTAGATTTAGTCGGCCCCAATCCGAGACTTTGTTAAGCAAAGACTCGACTTCAGACACAAGTTTGTCCCGGTACTCGGCGACGTTTTCCCGAGAAATATTGGCACGGCCGGTATATAAGGCATCACCAGTGCTGTCGTCTGCATAGCAATGAATGCTACCAGTTAGCAACATATCATTGATATGCAGGAGAAACAGCGTTGGTGATAGCACGCAGCCTTGTGAAATTTGAAATAAAGTGACAAGTAAACAGTCTGTTTATATACAATCTCTGTGATCCATCACTCTTTGCCCGACTGTCCCAAAGCTCGGAGCTGTCGTCGCACCACAAGCGAAACGCACCGAAGCCTAAATCACGCTATCAAAGTTCCAAAGTATTTATAGAATAGCTCTGTAACACCATAAGGCGCGTTGGCCGCTCGCCGGGCTCGTTACGTTGCCCGGTGGGGGATCTCCCCTTGTCATTTAACGGCCAAAATCTATATCTATACAAATAAATAAAATTGAAGTGTCTGTTTGTAATGTCAATATAACAGCTTTTTACTAAATGCATATGAAAGTGTATACGGTACTTATAACAAAACACAATTATTAAAATTTTTGTCTGTCCGTCAATTTGTTCCGGCTAATCTCCGAAACTACTGGACCGATTTCGACGGGACTTTCACTGGCAGAAAGCTGATGTTATAAGGAGTAACTTAGGCTACTTATATTTTAGAAAAAGAATTACAGTTCCGCGCAACATTAACATGCGAAGTTGCGGGGAACAGCTAGTTAGGTAATATAATACTGTCCCAAGTCCCAACCATGTAGTGATGGTATAAGAATATCCACTACTACACTGCGATTGCCAACCCACCTGCCAAGCATGACATCTATGGCAAAACCCCTTATGTAGCAATATTTGGAGGAGGGATATGTTCAGCTGTGGACTTTTATAGGCTGTAATGTATGAATGGAATGTTGTTCCGAACCGTTCTATAAAACTTCGAAAAGTCAATAATTTTGAATACGAATTTATTTGTACATTATGCGTTACCATTTCATCAAGAGGTGCCATCACGGTTCCTTTGACCCAATGCATAGCGTGAGGAACTGCGTTTTGTCTCGCGGTGGCATAGAATCCTTCTCCAGGATCTACAGTACCATACAACTCCCCATCGACATAGAACTCCAATCCATCTGTTGAAACCAAATAAACAATAAGTTCCTTTAATGCATTTTAGCCGACTGCAAAACAAGCAGATTCAAAATTCATCTGTATGTTTTTTTGTATGTGATATCTTCGCCAATTGGGAACCAATTTTGATAATTCTTTTTTCAATACGTACGTTATTCTTTAGGGATCCTATATAAATATGGAAAGAAAAAATTCACCCGTAAGAATGGTAAAATACGAGATGACGTTTTGAGTGTAACTATTTAGACTACATAGTGTGTTACCTTGAGTTTGTAATATTTTTTAGTCCACTCATACGGGACTTTTAGTAACAACTTATATTAAAAATTTCAAAAACTCCCGAAATAAAAAGAGCTGACGATCTTCAAACGGCTGAACAGATTTTCTTGAAACATAGCTAAGAACATTGACGGCTCCGTGACGGAGTGGCTTAGCAATGAATTGCTGCGCTGGTGGCCGCGGGTGCGAATCCCGCACGGAACAAATATTTGTATGGCCTGCAAATAATTGTTTCGGGTCGGGATGTTTGTCCTTGTGCAATTTGTGTTTGCAAACTGCCTCCACGATACAGGAGAAAATCCTAGTGTGGGTAACGTTTAAAAAAAACTCTTGATTAAGACAACTATCAAACGAAAAACGCTTAATCAAAATCGATCCAAAGCTACGAAGTCACAGACAGACAAACAGATACACACTACAAACTTATAACACCCCCGCTGGTTTCGTCGGGGGTTAAAAAGTAAAACTTTTAATAAAAAAAGCTAAAGCGGACTAAAAAAACCAAATGATTTAAATAATTTACATTCAGAAGCCGAGTCACCAATTTTTTTATTCACTATATTTTAGCACCGACTACAATATGTAAAAATATTTTTAGGATTTTAGGATTTTGTAGTAGTTCTTTGAAGCCAGCTTTTACTTTTTTTTAATTTTTTAATATTTTGCCATTCATCTCTCACTGGTCTCTCACTATAAATCGTGAGAGATTTCATTATACATCTCATCTGCTGCATCAAAATTGCAGTGTAGCAGATGCAAGCAGGAGGCATTCATTAACCCATATCCATCCACGGCTGTCGTAAGAAACGACTATGAGATATGCCAAAAATTCTTACAGCTTTCGGTAGATGGCAGTAAAAATGCCATTCATAAAATGTCCAGACTAGCGACAGGAAGCAGCGGCAAAGTTGCGAAATGGCTAGTACTGGAAAGCGTGGCGATTAAGGCAAATTCTCCCTACAATGGGAGAGATCCATGTCCAGCAGTGGAATGTACGGGCAAGCCATAAAATGCAGAAGGGTGATTACCAAATTTCTAAAAAGAAATTTTAACTTGAAATTTTGACTGCTTGCCGAATCCATTCAATCCATCAATTTTACGTGGTAGAGCCATGCTACAGCTATATTATGGTTGTAACACGGATGGGTCGGCTCAACCGGGGAAGGACCACGCTCTCACAGAATATCAGCGTAAAATAGTAGTTTAACGCTGCTGTGTTTCGTATGGTGAGTGTAGAGAACCGGAGACCCTTTTTACTGGAAACGAGGCATTCCATTTTAGTCCTAACGGGTGACAACGTATCTGCATTTTCGAAGATAGATATATAAATTCTTAATATTTTCTTTTAATAATTAATGTGACTTCTAAAAAACTGTCACTTATAAGGGATCTATCCGATAGAAGGCATTCACGCGTTCAAGCGTTCCGAGTTCGAACGCAGAACGCTTGAACGCGTGGACGCCTTCTATCGGATAGATCCCTAAGGGCTAAGACAGAATAACTTACATCCTGTAATCATACTGTCTCTCTATACCCTTCAGACCTGTAAACAGCAGTACACTGCTGCTTTCCAATATTTGCGGCAAAATTAGGTTTATATCTTTTACGAGAATGTGAGTTCTTATTCCAGCACCTCGTTGGTTACCTTTAATGTTACAAAAAGTAGCACTCTGAATTACCTGGTTTCCACACCATACTGTAATTGTGGAAGTCCTTATACCAATTGTCAATTCCGATTTTCTCCTTCATCAAGAACGAGCGGTACGGCTCCGTATCAGACAGTACCGGACCACCGTACAGCTTCTTTGCGTAAATAGGGTTTCCTTTAGCAAAGGCGACTCGTATTAGTCCAGATTCATAGCGCCGATTGCCGTAGACGTTGTCGCGTGGCTCCAAAATTATTTCTGTAAATAAGAAACTATTTAATATTCGCATTCCTGTCTGTTGTTGTGTCAGGTCATTTATAATACTTCAAAAATATGTTGTTTTTTTTAATAAGATAAGGGAAACAAACGAGCACACAGTATGACCATGTTAACTGTGCGCTCGTTTGTCACCCTATACTATAAAAAAAAATAAGAGCATTAAGTTAACATTACCTGGTAGCAACCAACTTCCACCGGGTAACTTTGCACGGATTTCCACCCTGCCGAACTTAAAGTTGAATTTACTCCTCGTTGTTATCTTTCCAGTGATGACCGGTGGTAGGATCTGAGCTCCAGACGTGACTTGTTGACACTCTCTAGTACCAATCTGGCCGGTACATCTATTAATGAACAAAATAATATTTAATGAATTATTTGTCCTCACATACACCGCAACTTTACATTAACATATATATTCAACTGATCTTCAATATGCTTACAGTAACGAAACAAATAACTTACGTTTTAGAGTTTACTCATACATACATTCCTCCTGATGGTGTTCGCTGTGGCCCACAGAAATCTACATTTATCCCCGATTAAGAATCAAAATGGAAATGTGGACTGAGGACTTTAGGACTAAGATGGAATGCCTCGTTTCCAGTAAAAAGAGTCTCCGGTTTTCTACACTCACAAGTTGTAACACAGCAGCATTAACAGATTCCCTGTCCGCGAAGTAGACATTATAGTTAAACAATCGAGATGTTCATATATGATTCATGGGACAGGGATTTATTTTTTTTTACTTTTTTTTTTAAAACGTTACCCCCACACTAGGATTTTCTCCTGTGTCGTGGAGGCAGTTTACAAACATAAATTGCACAAGGACAAACATCCAGACCCGGAACAATTATTTGTAGGCCATACAAATACTTGTTCCGTGCGGGATTCAAACCCGCGGCCCCCAGCGCAACAACTGATTGCTAAGCCACTGGGCCACGGAGCTGTTAAGATACTATTTTCTCTGGTGTTCTGTGAGAGCGTGGTTCTTTCCCGGTCGAGCCGACCCATTCATGTTACAACAATAATCTAGCAAGATTCCCTGTCCGCAAAGTAAACACAATAGTTCAACAATCGAGATGTTGTATGGCCACATATCGAAAGTAGAGCAATCCCGCATCTTTTGAAGCGTGCAAAAGAAGTTACATGGTTAGAATTGTTCGTTGTATTTAATAAAATAATAGCCGGCTAACTTTATTTTTATACTTAGCATTATCGTAGCATTTTATACGTTTTCCTTTATGCAGAAATCTTTTCTAGTTACTTTTCATGTTGCGTGTAATCAAGCGTAAGTATTTTACCCATTCTTTCTTTGAGAATTGAGTATAAATCCCTTTTGGGAAACTCAGCGAACTTTTTTAAAAAGAAAATGAATATGAATAAAATTATTCGAATATAGAATTATATTTTTTGTAGTATTGTTATCTAATGTATTATACTTCATTTGTACTGTATTTGTTTTAGTCACTAGAGGTTGATGTTGTCTAAATGCTTATTTATAACTTATCACGTAGGTACTTCATTGCGTTGACCTATTTATTTTCCTGAGACCACTACGTCCTTCAGACTGAATATTGGTTACCACGGTTGGTCTGAACGGTGACTAGCCATATGTGCAGGACAAGATTATAGTGCCCGATTGTGTACGCAAGCACAAGTGCACTCCATGTTCCCTCACTCTCATAGTACGACGGGACAGCAATCCCACTGAACATCGAACACGACCAGAGAGAGGTCAGGCGTAGGACCAACGGCTTTACGTGCTTTCCCAGGGGTTAAAAAATGAGAGCTTGACCGAAAAATTCAATAAGTGATTTTTTTGTGTCGACCCGTGATTCGAACCCGGTACTGACCACTAGATCAACGAAGCAGTCAACGAGTTTAATTATTATAAACCAATAGTAGTCAAGCACTATTAGTGAGTGGATGAGTTAGCTGAAGATGATAAAGTAAAGTAAGGCAAGAATGAATAGATTTTGCAAAATCTATTCATTCTTGCCTTGAAAACACCCACATTGTAATCCGTTTGATGATAACCTTGTTGAATACCGAAAGGTTACCTGTTTTGTATTATAGAATCGCAACAATTTTCAACTCACGTGTTAGTCAAATCTAACTGTTCATTGAGGAAGCCTTCGTGATATTTCGATTCTAATAGCAGTGGAGTGATGGAGAAAATTCCGTTTTCAAGATGAAGGGCGCCATCCACCATGTACAAATTGAATGGATAGTCCTAAAATAAAGAAACATGCAATGAGTTATCATTACATATCATTGAGGCTGAAGAATTAAAAATAATTGTTAAATCCCGTTAAGGAAAATACGTTAAATGCCTTGTCCAAATGTTAACCCCACCAGCACGCAATGCAGACTGACAGATGACCAACACCCTAAATGCTTACAAAAAACATTGCTTAAAACTATCTTACGGATTTTATCACATTTAACGTCGGGTTATAAAATATATAAGACTAACTGGCTAGGCAGACGTTGTTCTGCCCTTTCCGATGAGCCGATGACCCTTCCTATGAAAAAATCCTTAAATTCGCAATAAAAAAATATTCAAGGTCACTTACCGGGATAAAAAGTATTCTTTCTCTCAAGTTGAATCAAACTGCACACAGTGTGCAAAATTTCATTTTCATCAGTTCAGTAGTTTAGGAGTTCATCGCGGACAAACAATGTGACACGTAATTTTTATATATAAAGATTAAACGTGATAAAATCCGTAAAAGTAGTTTCATTCAACGTCCTAAATGCTGATCACAAGTTTCACAGGCTGATGACGGAGTGCAGTGTTTCTAGTTCGACCCGCTTGATTTCGGGTCCGATTTCGGATTCCGGTGATTGCAGGCAAATTTGCCAAGAAATGTTTGGCAACTGACACGTTTTTAGAAAGGCCATATTCAGGAGTCTACTTAAAAGGCTGGTAATGTAATGTGAAGTGGTTAATGCTAGGTTCCTGTGTTTAATAAACGCTTCGTTTTTCTTAACGAGTCGTTTTACAAAACATAAAGTGATGAAAACACATTTTTTTTTAAAACCTAAATATCGATAAACGACTAATACTCTATAACTTTGGTTAATAAGTACATAAAGATGTTTCAATAATGAATAATATCTTATGCAAAAAAACGATCATTGCGGAGAACGAAACGCTTCTTGAATATAGGAATTGAGCATAAGTCTATTTAATGAATAAGTTTCAATATATATAGTATACATTATGCATTATTTGGCACTCACTGCTTATTCTTCACGAGAATATACATACTATAAAAAAATATATATTTATTTTATAGAATAAGGGTGACAAAAAGAACACAGTCCATCTGATGATGTGTCCCATAGACATCTTCGTCTATCTTTGATTAAAAATCAAAATGCAGATGCGTTGTCACCCCTGAGGACTAAGATGGAATGCCTCTTTTCCGATGGAAAAGGTTTCCGATTCTCTTCACTCACCAGGAGGAGCCGTGGTAGCTCAGATGGTTAGCGCTCGCTGTAAATTTCACAGTACGCGAGCAAGTCGGGTTCGATCCCCGCCGGCACCAATGAAATTGTTAATTGCAATTTTAAGTGCTCATTTAGTATGTGCTCGGTGGTAAAGGAAAACATCGTGAGGAAATCTGCATGTCTGAGAAATGAGAAAAAAATTTCGAAGACATGTGAAGTTCGCCAACACGAATTAAGACAGCGCGGCGGACATTTCCTTGCCCTAAACCCTCTCAGAAATGATGGGAGATCTGCGCCCAGCTGTGGGACGTGTATATAGGCTGTAACTTTAACTTTAACACTCACCATACCAAACACTGTAACATTTAGGTGCAGTTTGGCTCTATCACGTAAAAGGTATTTCTTTAACCTAAACGAAATAACTGAAAACGAAACTGCAGGGATAACAAATACTAACCGGTTCCTGAGGGAATTTGACTTCGGGATCCCAGTTATCTAATTCCTTGATACTGTTTTTATCAAATTCCTCGTTGAAAATAAGTGCCCCTTTGCAAATATTAGTATGACCAAGCACTGCGGTTTGAGATACTTGACAAGGCGGCTGTGTTGTGCTCGTCGGTCGTGGAGGCGGCTCGGAATGAGCCGTAGTACCACCTGTTGACATTGTTGGTGCCAAGGTTGGCAAACCACTCACTGGGGTTCCATCTTCGTTAACGAACTCTAAAACAGTAATACTTATTATTTTAATATACATGTACAAATATTAAATGATACTTTAATATAATTTGGTTAAGAAACATTTTTAACATTAATACTCTTACCTACTATAGAACTAATGTTCTCATGTAATTAAAAAACTCTAATGAACTTGTTCTAGGTTCATAGTGAAATTATTCGCAAAACAGATCTTGATTATTTGTGTATTTTTATTTAAATACTAGCTGACACGGCAAACGTTGTTTTGCCATATACATTACTTCTAGGAAATATTGTTTAGTTTTAAAAATCGCGATTATAAAACAGGGGTTGATCGTAGAATGTTGAAAATTTGAAGTTTTATGTATTTTTCAATGGTAAATCATAATAAAATATAAATAAAAAATTGTAAAAAATTGTAAAAAAAAATAAAAAAATATTTAGGGGTGGGTCACCCTTATCATTTAGGGGTTTGAAAAATAGATTTTGGCCGATTCTCAGACCTACCCGATATGCACACAAAATTTCATACAAATCGGTTCAGCCGTTTCGGATGAGTTTGGTAACAAACACCGCGACATGTGAATTTCATATATTAGATAGTCCAGGTAGACCTAACAACATATTAATTACTTTCGTTATATTAGATAAAGTCACATTGATCCTCTTGCTACGTGGTGTAGGGCCGGTCCGAGGTGGCCAGTCTGAGTGGGCTTGGCGAGCCCACTTCGGATGTATGTCGGTGGGCTGCGGCGAGAGGGGTGCCCTCTCCACCTACCGCTGCAGCCTAGATGAAGTCGCGGGGGAAGAGGAGTGTTGGTATGGTGATGCGCCACTCGCCCTATCTTCCGCGACTCTAACGGGGCTGCACTGTTGATGCGGTGGTGGTGGGGCCGCGGGATGAGAGGAGTGTCGGTATTGCGATTTGCCGTTCTCCCTACCCTCCGCGGTCGAAACTTGGTTGGCAGCGGAGCCAAAGACGAAATCCGCCACTGGGGTCGGGAAAGCGGGTGCTACCGATCGGTCGATTTTGCTGGCCCCATGACCTTCACGTATCGGACTAGGGGGGTCCGTTTCGCAGGGGAGGAGAACTCCTATGAAGGGAGGGAAGGGGCTGCTATGGGGCGGCAAGCGATAGTGGGGCCGCGGATGTGTGCGAAAGCGTTCCCGTGGCCGCGGGGTTTTAGTCGGGACGAGTCCGACATAACCCGTCCCAGGTTGTATGTAAAAAATGGTGCGTATGTAAAAAAAAGACATTTCCAACTTAATATAAACTAAAAACGAGGCAGCCCCCAGCATCAACTTACTATCAGGTGGACTATTCGCTCGTTTATCACCCTTATCCTACATAATAAAAAAGATTAATATCGTATATCAGCCGTGGGATTTGCAAGTGTAGAGTAACTTATTTATTAGACTTAAAGTTTCCTTCAACGTCTTTATTAGCAACTAGCTGATACCCGCGACTTCGTCCGCGTTGCTTGATACAAAGTTTTCATCTGTGCGAAGGAAAAAACAATAAATGAAGATACCGCAATATTCTTTTTAGATAAGGGCCAAGTGTCTATGAAATAAAACTTAGAAAACCTAATTGAAATCTATCCAGAAGTTTTTCCGTGATGCGCGCAGAACTGCAAACCTCTATCATTTTATTTAAGTACTAGCTGAGCCCGCGGCGTAGCTCGCGTATACAGGTTTTACATAAAGAATTTGTCGTTCAGGTAAGAGAATATAAAACGATTTATTTCATTACTGTATCAATAAGTGGTAACTAAATAAATCATTATCATCAAAGTTCTAAGTCGTTTATGATAGAGCTTCTGTGTAAACGACGTTAGAAGTAGGCTTAGCCGGGGTGTACACAAAAAGGTTACGGGGGCTACTAACGCGGGAAAAAACAACATAGAGTTGGCCATGTGCAAAACAGTCAGTACTGAGGTACACTCCTACAACGCGTAAAGTTTGACCTTGCGCTTTATTTACGGTCATCGCATAACAGACGCTCACTGTAACTGGGAGCTGAACGCGCTTAAAACTGAAAGGAAAGTTACTTCTTAATAGAGGGTTTTTGGGCAGTGCTGCCAGATAAAAAAACTCATTCAGCTCTAGGACAACACAAAAAGCGCTAGATTTCATGAAAACAGCGCTTTAAAAAAGCTCTAGATTTCGCGCTAAAAAACTACAAACAAAGTTTGTGTTTTTTTTATATAATCATCATAAAGAAAACAACATTAATTTTTTTTTCTGGCAATATTTTTTTGATGTATCAATACTTCGCAGGACATCGACTTATATTTATGGTAATTGCTGTCAACAGTAGTTAGTACTGTACGAACAATAAAAATGTCATTAATTGTTTTAAAGTGCAATGTATTTCGCAACTTAGTTTCAGATGTCAGCATCTGATTGCGGTTGCTACACAGTTTCTTTGTGTTATAACTTCTAAGTAACTTTTAACTTAGCTGTGCTCTAAGCAACTGACTGAAACTGAATAAAGCAAAATAAATGCGTTGCCAAATCCATGAACGAAAACTTTAATAAAGGGGATTTCCCCGCTTATAGTCGTCGGTAAAAAAATCAAGTTGATCATCCTAAAGGGGAAGCCAGGAGATCCATAGCACAGGGTATCCTAGTTTGGACTCGTCTCCCACGCTCTTTGTTTTGTGGAAAAAATATGTTTGAAAAAGATAAACTGCAATGTACTATTTGTGGGAAAAATAATAAAGGTCATTATTATTATTATCGGTAATGTGGACTAACAGAGCTGCTATAAAAGAGTTAGATAGACCGCTAGTCGCTACAATTTTGAAATGTGTGCTAAATACACCAAAAAGCGCTGGATTAAGCGCTAGGTGCTAAAATTTCGAAATGCGCGCTATACATTCCTAAAAAGCGCTAAATCTAGTTCCCAAAGCGCTAAAATAACAGTACTGGTTTTGCGTATATTATAAATACAATATCACGACATTTCGTTGCAAAATTTTTATTTTTGGTCGGGTTCCGTTGTATGGCTTCGATGGATACAAATTTCTTCAGTAAGTCTCAATACGATTCATCGGCGAAAAATCTCAACACAGCAATTCAGAAAAGTTTGTAATTTCTACAACTCCATCCATTACGTCCTTTGTGTGAGAAAACATCCTTTTTAAATCTCTTTTTGTGTTTTAAGTATAAATATATTAATTATTATGGAACGTTTTTTTTACACACAAATCTTTTTATTACTATTTCTCAGATTTTATGGCGTCATTGAACAAATCCGAACGCACATTTCAAAATAATAATCATTACTTTCGATAGAATTAACCAATTTTAATAAAACAAAGATTAAATGTAACTCGAAGATACGCTTTATGATTTTCTTAACGATTTCTTTGAAAATAAAAGATGTTTACTTTAGACATGATGCGTTCATATAATAATAGACAAATAGACAGACAGACGATTCTAAAAATTATAAAATGTTCTTATTTAATTATTTTCAGTTCCCCATAATGATTTTAGCCTCCAAAATATATATACAATGTACAGAAAGAGACACAACATGTTATCATCATTTTTATTATATGTATATATTTAAAGAGAGATAGCGCTGCTAACATCAATTCTAAAAATAAAAGAGATTAATTGTTCGATTGATACATTATATAAAACGCAAGAGAACTTATAAATCAGTGCCTGCACAGTAAGCAAAAAATAAAGTTTGACTCTCGCCAAAACCAACGCAATTGTTAATAGCTCTTTTAAAATTTGATTTACCACATAGAGTACTCGGCGGTAAAGAATAAATTGAGTTTGTCAACACGCAGTAGGGCAGCGAGTAATATAATAAAGATTAGCAGTAAATATGAAAACTCATCTACAGGAAAAAACCACATTGCAATTGCATTACATTTTCACAACACCACCATCTATCGAAGAAATGGGTTAACTATTGTGCTTCAGATTTAAAGGTTAATATATTTTTTGTATAATATATTTAATACGTTCTTTAGTACTTTTGTTTACTGCGTTTTAGATATACATAATTATATCATTATTTTACATAATTTAACTATGATTTATGATATGATATTAGTTTAAAATGCACTTGATGACTCAAACAAAGCCACCGTTGAGCAAATTCGTGCCTATACTTCCCTACCCATACTTCAGAATATTTATCATAACTTTTGATGGAATGAACTGATTTTAATGAAATAAAGACTAAATGTAACCCGAAGATACACTTTATAATTTCCTTAACAATTCTTATGATATAAATTAGTACTTTATACGTGATACGTTAACAAACAAACAGACAGACAGACAGACAGACAGACAGACAGAAAATTCTAAAAATGGTAGAAATGTATTTAATTACTTATTTTTAGTACCCCTCAATCACTTTTATTACAAAAATATAAAATGTACAGACATCTGCTATTTACAGTTTTATTATATGTATAGATAATTATTCGTTGTGAGGGTCGGTTATTATCGGAATATTTGATCGGCGGTTTAAAAACACTATCTATAGAATATATATATAATTATATAAAATAGAGAATAGAAGGGTCGTCGGAAAGGGCAGAACAACGTCTGCCTGGCCAGCTAGTATATATATATCTTTATATATAATTACGTGTCACATTGTTTGTCCGCGATGAACTCCTAAACTACTGAACTGATTTCAATGAAATTTTGCATTTTAGGATAGTTCTTATCCTGATAAGTGACACTCAATTTTTTTATTGCGAATGTCAGGAGTTTTTTTTTAGGAAAGCAAATGGTCGTCGGAAAGGGCAGAACAACGTCTGCCTGGTCAGCTAGTATATATATATATATATATATATATGTACTTCTCGAATAGTTATATTCTAGAATAGTTATACTATATATGTGAACTCTTTATATTTTTAATATAATCGATTTTATTTACGAACCTGTCACCGTCCATTCTCCATTGTCCTGTCTGTAGCCCAAGCCATCTTTAATAACGTAAGTCCAGAAATAAATAGTGTCACCAAGCTTCAGCTTAGCATTCTTATCACTAAATATCCATCTATTGTTCTTGGCTTTAGTAATGTCCCTTGACCAGTGTCCTGCTTCTAGGCCATTCATTTCCTCATTAAGTTTGCCGTGGAAAGCGAACAAAGAGAAGCCATCGTCTGAAATTAATAATGTTTATCACGGTTACAGATTAGATTTGACATACAAAAGGGGGTCGAAAACAAAACTGACCTAGAAAAAATAATTCGCTCGAAATTTCACCTACTCCTTTATACAAACGTTAGGGAAAATTCTCCAATACTAGCATATTTTCCTGTACACTGTGACAAACACCTAGACTACTATTATTTATTCTGTGGTCTAACCTTAACAACCATGTGTAACCGTTTTTTATAGAATAACTAACTGGTACAGAAAAAATAATAGTGGAAATATTGTTTTAAATTTGGAAGGTTTATATTATTTAATGCAAACATACGTATAGTTGAGGAGAAATCGGCGCATGAGTACCGAAAACTATTCAACCTCAATCTTTTTATGCGATTCTATTTAAATTGTCTTAATGATGATATAAATGCATGTTACTATGGGACAACTCGGTGTCCTATTGTTTAAACCATTTTTTTTTTCAATTGCATGGAATGGTTATTTTTAAACAATTTTTTTAATATTCTTTGGGTTACAAATAAAAAAAGATCCTATGACTTAACGATAATGTTAATATTTTCTAAGTTATGAATTTCTCACTTTTCACTGATTAAAATATATAAAGAAAAGGAATAAAGTATGAAAGATAAAATTTTTTGATAAAATACAAATAAAAAGACTTTTTACAATAATGTTCATATTTTAGGAGTTACGAATTTTTAAATGATTGATAAATCCCGAATTGGGATACTTTAGACTTATTAAGAATATATTATAAAGAAATATGTATATATATATAATCAGTCAAATAGTGACGAAATCTATTAATCTCAAACAGATACTCGTATATTCATGTTTAAAAAATATAGCCAGTGATTTTTTTTTATTCTGTTCAGTGCATATATATATATATATATATATATATATATATATATATATATGATGTATATATACACATACAATCATATATATATATATATATATATATATATATATATATATATATATATATATATCTGTGTGATTACAATGATAATTTCTATTTGTAAGTATCTTGTTAATCATAATTTAATTGATATATTGTTTTTGTACTAACATACGATTGAACTTTCGCAGCCAGCCGTAAATTTAATAATGTGAGAATACCTGCGTGTATGACAAATTATAAAAAATGAAAAACTACGTGAAGTGTCAACATGCATAATGCAGCAAAGCGAACTCTTCTCTGCTCCACAACTCCTCAGAAATTAGAGGAAGCCTGTAACCAGCCGTGAGAAGCATGCATGCAGTTAATTTATTCTTTATGGCTCTTATACAGCACAGCCTTCTTACTTTCAAACCTGGTCTGTTTCACGATGTATCCCCATTACTGCTAACAGGTTTTTGATCATTCCATATACTTTACTCTTTATCCTACTATCCTACTAAAATTATAAACGTGAAAGTTTGGGAGGATGTATGGATGTTAGTTACTCTTTCACTCAAAAACCTCTAAATGGATTTTAAGGAAATTTTTACAATTATATTGCTCTTACATCAGAATAACACACAGGCTATGGTTCATAGAGATATTAAGTAAATTGGTTAAAATATAACGATAAATGTTAAGTAAGTCGGCAAAAACCTGTGAACCGATTTGGATGGGACTTTCACTGGCAGATAGCTAATGTTATAAGGAGTAACTTAGGCTACTTTTATTTTAAGGTTCCGCGCAAAATAAATCCACGCGGGCGAAGTCGCGGTTAACAGCTAGTCATATAATATATTTACTCTTTTTCTAAAATCTTTATTTCATAATCATAATATATTGAATTAACTTGATCTTTCTTCATCAAGCCTTGTCTGTATTGCGATGTATTCATTACTATTAACAGGTTTTTGCTCTTATCTTCACAACTTTTTGTATCTAGCGAACGCCCACGGCGGTACAAGTAGCGTGAAATTTGGAAGTTCTCAAGTTCAATGCCTGCTTGCAATTTAATTTCGTGCAAGGAATCTGCGAGTTATAAAAACAAAGTCAATGACTTCGGAATACGTTGAAATTGACTATCAATCAACTTCGTCGACTTTATCAATAGTAACGCAAAAGTATCATTCAGACACAAAAAAATTAACGTTTTTTTTTGTTTTCTTCATTTAAAACATGGTGATCTGGAAGGCTTGTTAAGGGTATCCGATTCTCTATGCTCACCATACGAGACGCAGCAGCATTATGCTGCTATTTCACGCTGCTATTCTGTGAAAGCGTGGTCTTTCCCCGGTAGAGAAGACCCATTCATGTTACAACGATGTCATACTCGTAGTTGCAGTTTAAGCAGGGCTCTATCGCGTAAATGATATCCAACAGTTTGTTTTTTTTTTTAATATGACATGATTTTATAATTTTATCATCATCGTCATTACATTCTATCATAGTTTACTGCTGAACATATTATGTGTCCCCATATATTGCCTCATAATGGGGATATTTGCCATAGTTTCCACACTTGGCAAGACGCTGGCAACCGCAGTTTTTTTTTTTCTATTTGTAACTATATTTTTTTATAATTAAGAATCCAAAAATATAAACAGGTTTTTACAAGTTACACTCATTGGGGAATAGCTGGTCAGCATGTGATTACACTGGCTTTCTTAGGCCTCAGGCACGGTACACAACAAGAGTACAATCATTGTTGCTTAACGGCACAAATGTATATGTATTTTATGGAAAGAAGTTAACAGTAATATTTCTGACTTATTAACAAACAAAATTTTAAATTTTGTAAAACCGATTTCTATATAAATAAAATGACAACATCATCAATGTAGTCGAAGTCAATTAAATACGCATTATTAAGGATAACTCAAAAACTACTAGTCAGATCTTGATCAAGTTTATATGGGGCCACCAATGAAAACCACCAGTTTTCAAATAAGAAAAGAATTATCAAAATGGGTTCACCTAGAAAAATAGTTCTGAGGTAACACATAAAAAATACAGTCGAACTGAGAACCCTATTCCTTTTTTGAAGCCGTTTGAAATAATTTGAAACACAATTTTGTCGTCTAATTCAAAAACTCTTTACACACTTTAGAAGGGTTTATAAATGTCACTCTTAAGGATTACTCTAAGCCTAAGAATGATTTGAATGACACTCTTATGAAAACAGACTACCTAACTCGTACAAATCGCAGACACGTTCAAAAGCTTTCCCTAAACAGTTTTTTTTTATATTTTGTGACAGCTGGTAAAATAAATATGATATTTTTCTCTAGCTAGCAACACATCGGCAATGATGAAGGCTGTACGAAGTTATATTACGTCCCCGTTTTCACTGTCCGGCGACGGAGTCAACGTACGACGGTGCCATCATGTTGCGTAATTATGAGTACGTTAACTGTAGCGGTGTGCACGTTGATGTTATTCATGGTATTTTGTTTGTAGTGTATATTTAAATACCAAATATTAATTCTCATTTATTTAATAGAACCCAGCTAGAAAACTTAGAAATAAGTAAAAGTTAATATTTCAGGAGTGATGCAAAATAGTTCGAAAAGTTTTTGAAGACTATTTTCAAATTCAGAAAGAGATAGGTAGGTAGAGGTGGTATACCTTGTAGATATTACTTAAAAATTATTCAAAATATCACGGTTCTATATTACCTATATATTTAGGTCTTAAATATAAAAGATAGACCCTTAATAGAGTCTTATTACTGTTCAAATAGTGGATAAATGCACAGAGTAATTTGCTTTATTTAAATTAGTATAGAAATTACTATTACAGTCTACATCTTTCGATTATAATTTTTAACAAATATGGATAATTAGTCTGAAATCAATGAATTATTATTATTATTATAAAAGTCCACTGCTGAACACAGGCCTCTCCCATAGATTGTCTCATTGGGAGAATTTTGCCATAGTTGCTACGATTGGCAGGCGGGTTGGTAACCGCAGTTTTTTTAATTATTTTGAGTTGTTATCATTAGAAGAATGCTGTTACCCATATTCTGTTTTAATTTCTCGCTGTCGCCTCTTACGATACCCACGGGACCATATATTTTTTATAGAATAAGGTTGACAAACGAGCACACAGTCCACCTGATGGTAAGTGATTGCTGTGACCCATTGAGATCCACATCTATCCTCAATAAAGAATCAGAATGCAGATGCGTTATCACCCGTGAGGTCTAAGATGGAATGCCTCTTTTCCAGTAAAAAGGGTCTCCGGTTCTCTACACTCACCATACGAAACACAGCAGCGTTAAGCTGCTATTTTACGCTTGTATTCTGTGAGAGCGTGGTCCTTCCCCGGTCGAGCCGACCAATTCGTGCTACAACTATACTACTAATATAGCTGCTACCCATATGGATACAAATTAAATATAGCTTGATAATATTCTAAGTTCTGAGGTAGCTCAAGGAATAAGCCAGAGCTCACCTTATAAATGTATGCAGGCAACCCTAATCCAATTCCCGTCGACATCAATAAAATAATTGCATTGAAATTTTAAGTGCTGTTTTACCACGGGTTCGGTAGTGAAGGAAAACATTCATTATGTTTTGAAACCTTCTTGTCTAATGTATAATTTATATTTAAAAACATTTAGGAAACACTCGAAGTCCACCAGCATGCTACTGGTAAAGCGGCGGACTCTTCACTGCTCCACCTTTTCAGATGTATAATAGACTGCGCCATACGTATGTTGTTACTTTATTTGATCTTTAGTTCAACACAATTTAGTTTATACTTAGGCGATAAGATGTTATAAGTATTAATTTATTCATTTATTTATTCGTCGTAATTGTTATAATTAGTTAATTAATTTCGATCCTGTGCCAAGGTTAATAAGTTTTCCATGTGGCTAGATATAAGTAAACATACTATTTAAATTGAGTATTATTTTGAAAATAAATTAAACCTTTCGTATGTAAATAATAGTATAACTAAATAAAATATTTCAATAATAAAAATACAACACAACAGAATACAATAAAGAAAACGATAGCGGAAAAACTTGTTGAATAATTAAAGCCTTAAACACATAGGTCTGTTCATACGTGAAAAATATTTTACCTGGTATAGATACTCTGAGTCCTTGAGGATGAATAGCTTCTAATTTTGCCGGTGGTACTACATATTTCTGAGCTCTTGCTTGAGCGTCGCACCAAGCTACAAGCGACAATAAATTAAGAATAATAAATTTACACGCCATGACGTCTGAACCAGCCCGATGCCGCCGGTACAATAAGAAATTTTTTAATGTTGCTTCGTCATGGGTCTATGCAGCTGTATGTGAATAGGGTCAATGTTTCATCTGTAGACGGTGGTAAAACATTATAGAATATTAATCGGTGTAGACCCACCTTTATCATCATAAGCTCATAAAATGTCTTCTACTGGACCTGAGCATTCAATGACCGTAGTTACACAGAAAGAACTTCAATCCACACTCCGGTCGAAAATGAGTTATACATATGCCAAAATAATTCTTAGGTATAGACCCTAAGAAATAATTGTTAAGGTCTATAACTTCCTTTGGTCTTACTTAAGCAAAAGGCGTAGTGGATAAAAAGCAAAATTACAAACAAAACGTAATTCCTTGAAAGTTGTGGTAGCTCAGTTGCTAAGCGCTCGCTGTAAATTAGCGATTTTCACAGTATACGCGAGGAGCCGGGGTTCGGCCGCTGCGGGACCAATAAAATTATTAATTGCAATTTTAAGTGTTGATTTTCCACGTGCTCGACGGTAAAGGTAAACATCGTCAGGAAACGTACATATTTGAGAAATTAAAAAAAATATTTCGCAGACATGACCACACGCATTGGGGTAGCACTGTGGACAACTTTTTGCCCTTAAACTGTTTCCGAAAGGAGTGGAGGCCTGTGAACTGGAGTGAAACCTACATATATATATATATATATATATATATATATATATATATATATATATATATATATATATAGTTTGAAATATCCAAAAAGACTTAAATATATAGGTATACTACTACTTAAATGTCTTTGGAAATATCTCAAACATTCTTATAACAAGAATGCACAATGTTATGAGAATGTTCTGTCTTGCTTTCACACTGGTCTCTTGTTATATTTATCAATTGGCATTGGATTGCGTTAGTGATCTTTTCAACGAATAGTATGATAAATTTTAACACAATAGGTAGTAAGTCAGTAGGTCACATACTTTTTTTACTGACTAAAAAAATAAAACGAATTTTATATCATACTCGTAGTAAACTTATCACAGGTGGGGGATGAAGTTGCTCGCGTCCGTAGGAATTACTTAAATCTTGACTCCCTACACGTATCTCCTGGGTAGTGCTAAACGAGCAGCACCACATATCTATTGATGGTAGGTTGGCCATCTACAAGTGAGAGGTTCAGCCGAGGGTTAATTGCCGTCCACCTGGGAAATACATACCGCCAAATGAACCAAGTCGTGTTCCAGCATGATGTTAGGTAAAACCCATTTCTTTGGGAGAAAGGGTCTTGTTGCGCGGCCGTTTCTTAGCGTTAGGTGCCTGGTTATGGAGGTTAGCGGGATTCAAAGCACGGTTGCATCGCTGGCCGACCGTAGATAGTTGGGGGCCCAATTAATGAGGCACCCACTCATGAAAGGCTGCCCCGCCATCTTACGAAAAATTCTGGGATGGCTCCACCATGCCGGTTGGCGACCGGAGGAGAGGGCCAGGTGGTAATTTCCAGTGGGGTTCGGGCGACACAGGAATGGATAAAAATAATCTATTCTTGTGTCTACCGATCGCACAGTGGTGACCAGGAGGCAACTAGGCTATTTGATGTGGCCTCTGATGTGGCTCTAAATCGGTCCTACTGCACAGTTGGTATTTCTGGGGGACTTTAATGCCTGTAATCAGGACTGGCTGTTCCTGCGGCGAGAGAGGCGTGGAATTTTGCCTTGTCGCTGGGGCTCTCCTAGCTGGTACAACAAGCGATTAGGGTACCCGATGTGGATGGGCACACAGCCAACTGCCTCGACCTTCTGCTGACGACCGATCCGGACAGGTACGATGTTCAGGATACCTTACCCCTGGAAACCTCTGACTAATTTCTGATGAAATCTGTGTCGTTATATTCCCCACCTAACTACGATTTCCGAAGTGTGCGGTGAATATGGCGATACAGGTCAGCAAATTGAGATGAGATGCGGCATTTCTTTGCATCTTATCCTTCTTTGCATATTACCTATTGATCTGCTTGTTCCCGGTATCTATGGGTGTACAGACGACAGCACAGTTTTGTCAAATCAAATCCAGTCCGAAAGAGAAGCTACGGTTGAACGTGCGATTCTCTCACTAAAGGCATCTCCGAATGGGGCAAAGCCAATCTGGTGAGATTGAACGCCTTCAAAACACAAGCGTATCTTTTTCACCGCTAAAAGGAGCCCAGTCACTCTGGCTCCTACTTTACTGTACTTATGTAGGCACGTAAGAAGTTATACTTCTTTATCCTAACAAAACAAAAATAAAACACGTTTTACTATATATATATATATATATATATATATATATATATATATATATATATATATATATATATATATTTGAATAACTACATTGAATATGGATGGACACTTTGTTCCCCAACACATTCAGAAATTAGAGGAGACCTATGCTCTGCAGTGGGACTTATACTGCAAGTTTACTTTTTACATTTTTACCGCCTCTATTTTAATTTTCAGGTCGGATGTTGATCACAGAATATATTTTTTAAACTGAGAATGATGATGTTTGATTGATAAAATAGAAGAGAGAGGTATATAACGATTACTTAACTAACTAACTATGGCAAATATTATTAAACACCCCCTTATGAAACAATTTATGGAGGGAACTAGGTTCAGCAGTGGAATTTAATGGCATATTTAGATGTAACAAAAACTTTAATATGCAACGCATGGGTATCAAGTAAGATGCTTTGTTGTAATTTACTATGTTAAATTAATTGTACTTACGTCCGGCTGGAGAAAAGAAGCATTTAAAAAAGCAAGACCTTTCGGGTCAAGCAAGGTCTCCAGATCACGAGATTTTTTGTAGAATAAGGGTGACAAACGAGCTTAGCCCATCTGATGGTAAGTGAATCTGTGGCCCACAGACATCTACATCTATCCACAAGTAAAAAACAACGAAAAGCGTTGTCACTACTGAAGACTGAGATGAAATGCCTCGTTTCTAGTAAAAAAGGATCTCCGATCTTCCCCGATCCATTCTGCTACAACCATAATAATATGTAGCTTCAACGTGGCTCTACCCCGAGCTTCATCTTCCTAATAGGCTATGAAGACCTCAGGGCCAATAAAACACATTACAAAAAAGCAAGGACAAATTGTAATAATAATGAGAGTTAGCAGCTCGTTTGGAAATCTAACATTTTTTTTAATCTTAATTAATTCTCTCCGGTGGAGGTACCTGCTTAAAACGGTAATCAGACCAGACTCAGTATCAGATAAGTTATGAGTCTTGGGGTGGCTGTAGTGTACGTTGGAGCACACTGCAGGATGAATCCTCGAATAATAGACCAGTAATAAATGTGTCTTGTGTAAACAGTGAACATGCATGATGAATCACTATTGTAAAAAAATGGTATCTTCCTATTGTCACAGAATATAGGTAAGGTCGGGGAAATAGTTTCTTCGTATTTTATATACAAATTGGAGCCATTTTTTAACTTTAATTATAATATATATATATATATATATATATATATATATATATATATATGTGCCATTTAGTTCAATAACTTGTTGCATTATTGTTCGATGGCTTGTTGAAATCTTGGGATTTTTAATCAAAAAAATGCCACAAGTAGTTTTGACAGTCCTCTCACTACCCAAAGAATTCTGTAGAGACCGAAATGGGTGAAAATCTGAGGGTGCAAGTTCACGGTTAAGGTCCGGACTATATGGTGAATGCATTAACATTTTCCAACCAAGGTCTCTCAATTTTTGCGGAGTGGCCAAATATGTGTGTGGTCTGTCGTTAGCATGATGAAAGACTACTCCTTTTCTGCTGATCGATTCCAGCCATTTTTCTCATTTCTTGCTCATATTTATTAGTCTCTTTAGTTGTTGGCAATAGAGATCGGAATCAACGGTTTTGCCCGGCGATAAAAGCTCATACAAACGATGCTCTTCCAATCCCACCATACACACAGCATCACCTTATTACGTGTTAAACCAGGTTTCGCTAGCGAAACCTTGACTTTTTATCACCAGTGGTCAATCCTTCCAAAAATAGTTCGGTTTCATTAATTTTCAATAGAGAACCCCAAATGAGTACCTACACAATTCATTAGGTTTCTTTGAGTGAGCTCATGTGGTATCCCAAATATCGAGCTTTTTTGTATTACCAGATTTTTTCAAATGGGTCAAAACTCTTTTGTTGTCAATCCTCAATTCCTTGGCTATATCGTAACTACTAATATGCAGATCTTGCTCCACTTTTTCAAAAAGGGCATCGACATTATCCGTATGAGGGCGACCAGAGCGAGATGCATCTTTGACATCAAAATTCCTGGACTGAAAACGCTTGACCCAACTTTATGCCACTCGCACATAGTCATGTACGAAATCGATTGCTCATCGATGCATTGTATCCGTTAAACACGTGTCATTCAAAGTTTTCACATCATCGATCACCTCTGTCTCGAGATACTCTATCATCGCCACGTGACACTTTTTATTTATAAGTGTCTGGGAGTATTGGTGTTACTTGTCACTCTCATGACTGACTTGACACTGGCAGAATTCTAACAAGAGAAGCCATAATTTAAAAGAAGAAGAAGAGTATTGGTGACTGATTTTAATGGTATTATCTAACATACGTAAAAATCAGCTGGGAGAGTTAACTAAGCTAAGGAATGTTTTTACGTACCTTGATTACCTGATTTATTTATTCAGTGCCGATACCTGGAAAATGGCTATCCAAGCTAGCGGGTAGGCATGCGATGTGTAAGATTGAGTAGTATTAGTACATACTAACACTACTCAATTACGTTAGAGAATAAGTTACGTCTAGTGGCTCTGGGATCTAGCTCTATTATTATATTATGTCATATAAGGGATGTAATAAAAAAAAACAATCAATAATTTTACAGATCACTTTAATTGCGCAATACTTTCACTGCTTTGTTAAATTGCCATCGAACAGGAGACGTTTAAAACCTTTCTTTTTTTTATATA